AACAACAAAAACATAAAGATGATTTGAAATATAATAAATAACTGATATCAGACATACAGTTACAGTGGAGGACAGTTTAAAGACCTAAAGATGCAGTATACTGTAATGTCTGAGGCAGCATATGACCACATCTCCTCTTCAAGGCCTTGCCATGGACACTACCTGGTCAGCGCTTCATACAGATGAGGTCAATTATCCAAGTCAGTGTGCAACCGTGCATTTTCTCTTTGTACTGACTCTGTCCCACTGGAGCATGACGCCTGCAGAAGCACATCTTACCACTCTCACCCACATTACATTTAAGTGGCTTAATGTTGTTCTGCAGGGTCAGGGCCCCGTCTGCCATTTGGATTAGTGCGTCTTCCAGACTCTGGTGACACCATCATGCCCAATGCATTCAAATCAGAGTTAAAGCAAACACCTCACATATAGACACATCAAACTGGCCTGACACACTACTCAGATGCTAGTGCTACCAGTCCAGACTATAAGGAGTATTCCACACTTAAGATGGGTGGTTTGTGTGCCAAGCACCTTTCTACTGACGGCAGTGATGGCTACTATAAATAGTTAAACTGGATTTCAGCAACATGAGCTCACATTCAGAGAAAACATTGTTCTCAGTTTAATCTGTTTGGATTAGGTTGGCTGTGTGAGACTGGTAGCCGTGCCCTGCTCTTCGCCTCTCCATAATTGCATCTTCTTTTTGTAGTTGTATACTTTGACTGGAGCGCTGCCGTGCTTTCTGCTGTCCTCCATTATACACAAAGTAATGACTCATGTCTGCTAGGCTAGTACATTTCACTGCTTTATAAAGTGAAATAAAGAAAGACATGGTGTTGCCTTGTAGCTAATTTGTTTTGTGGATGAGAACACAGTCCACCTAAAATGACCAAAATAAAAAAGTCAGATGGAATAGATGAGTTGCTTCTCTCACCCTCTGACGCTTAAAGCAAGCTGTACTTCGTAGGTTGTTAATATCATTCCCCAGCTATGACTATTCAGAATTCCAGGATGTTTGCACTTCAAGGGCCATAAAAAGTATTTTCCCCTTCCCTTCCTCTTCCCGTTTTAGAGCCAGGAACCTTAAATGGCATCCAGCATTTTAAACCTGTGTTTAATTATCATTTGTTTGCTATGTTTTGCTCCTGTGTTAGATTATGTGCATCATCATTAGAAGATGTTCTTTGTAATTCTGTTATTCCACAGGGATATCTGTCGTATGTGTCACCATAGCAGAGAGGACCTCAGACCTACAGACTTCAGTCTATTTCAGCAGTCAGTTGTGTGCTGGACCACTAAACAATGGGCAAAGGTGTTGTGTCAAGACTGTGTTAAAACATAGACTATAGTTTGTTTCCATCCCAACTGTTGTGTCACTGTGTGTGTGTGTGTGTGTCATAACCGTTCCTACATACATTCATTCTGAGCAGAACTAGCATTCTTATAATTTTCAGCAAAATCATAATTATGCAAGTTTAAGGTTGTGTAAAGTGTAATGAAGAAATATCTTGAGTTGTGGACATGGAATTTCAAGCCCAGGGACTCATTACTGTCCATTTGTTACAAATGAACAAAAACATGAACTGCTTTCTGCATCATTTTTCTAGTCTGAAATTTGCATTTTTGTTTTTTCACTAGTAAATCAATATATGGGAAATTGGTGATCATTATATCAGCTTTCAGCAGTAGCTGATCCAGATTGAAACCAAGCAAGGCTGATTGTATTGTCCTATTTGTACTGGCAATAATGATCCAGACATCCCTTGTACTGTTTAGAACAACAAGGCTGATGTAAACATGCAAGTACATTTGTGTTAATGCTTAAGGGCGTCTGACGGGCGTCTGACGGGCGTCTGACGGGCTAGCAAGGGCGCCTGGCTCTATGATGACTGATCAAACAATATTCACACACACAACACAAAAAACTCTGCTCCTCAAGCTAACAAGCTCCCCTTACATTTCACTGCATCTGATGAAGGAATCTGTCTCCATGCATAAGTCTGTGTCAGATCAGTCACAGCAGTGAATGTTAGGTTTAACATAAAGAAAAATAACCTGTGGATATAAAATATAAAGCTTAAGACACAGATGTGCTAATATCCTATCAGAGGAACAACATAAACAGTGTTTGTGTTTATACTTTATGCCTGATTGCACAGCAACCATTTGCATATTATAACAAGTGCCTTAGTAAAATTTGTTGAAAAGTTTATACTTTTGTATATAAAATGGCTCTAAACCGACTAACTGGAGGCGGTTAGTGTACTTTAAAGCACAGTAGTCGACATTTGTTTGTAGATGTTACACTGACATACAGTATTTAACAATAACAGACAGTGACGATATCGCACCGCTTACACAAAAAGGAAGCCAGGAGACATCTGTATCTCCCCCTGTGAGCCGGCAGTCACAGAGGCTGGCAGAAGACTATGCGGCATGCAGGCAGTGTGTCTGCAGTGCATGTTGTGCCTGCACATTTTATATGTCAACTAGCACACGAGCTCAGGCTGCGACCCTTACGCACCTGCAGTAAGAGCTACAGAGTGACTGTACTGTATAATATGGTGGCTCAAATGGTCACCTAATGTCTGCACATTGTCCTGTGCATGTACATATTTTTCTTGATGATTTGATACCAATGATCCTTGTGCACTACAAAGAATTAGTGGCACTGCAACATAAAAAGTAGGTGGCTTTACCACAGGCCAAGTTAATGTTCAGAATAAATGATGTACTAGATGTAATTTTGGCAAACTTGTTTGTTGAGCAACACTAATGTTTAGTTTGATGGTCTTAGTCTCTACAAAACAACTCTGTTATGATAAAAATCTTTTTGAAAATTATGTCAGATTTATAACAAGTAAATAATAGGGGCTTGTGTTATGCTTACTTTTAAAGACTTAGCTGTTAGGCCTTTGTTGTGTTCATTAGTCCATGTGCTATTTGATAGGGTAACTTGTAAAAAGGTCTGTAATTTTGTCAGTTTATCTTATACTGCCAAACAAATAATCACCCTGGTCCTCTTTGTGCAATGACGGTGATGCGTATTCCTGAAATAATTAATGTAAAGCTTAGACTGTGAAATGAGGTTCAGATACATTTATAATGCCCCATGTACAGAACTTATAGAAACTGCCCTCAACTAGTCAAAGTACTAACAGAGTGGTTCAGGATCCATCTTAGAAACAGGGCAAAGTCAAATATTTGGCTTTGATCAGTCTTAAGTGTAGCATACAGTACACAACACTATAATGAACAGAATACAGCCAGTGCTAGCCAATATGCACGTGTAGTTCCTGGTTTGAAAATGAACCATAAACCATCTTTATTGAGGATGTGATTGAAAACTGAAGTAGTAGAAAACCAGACAACAGTAAGTAAGTAACAACAACTAAGGCACAGCATCCAGGACCATCTGCAACCTCCCAGTGACCCACAGCAGGAAGCTGTCTGTGCAAAATCAGCCAAACATTTCCATTAGCTGCACTCTTCAAACATGTGACTTTTCAGATAGCTTTACACAAAGATAATCTACCTTCCAGAACAAAAGTCCAATCAATAAGGAACCACTGAACCATCTGTTCACAATCTGTTCACAATATAGGCCAGGAAATGATGCACTGGCCGTTGCTGGTGCTGCAGTACAATGCAACACAGAGTGACATAAGCAAACAAGAACATGCTGATTCACATGTGGCTCACACAGGTTCCCAGCAGCAGCCTATACGCCGTATAAATTCAGATCAGAAAACCAAAGAAAGATCACTAATCCTCTAAACAAAAGAGCATGAATTCTTGATTCCAGATCCCAGCCCTGAGACTGCAGCAGACATGCCCACCTGCTACAGGGCCACTTAGGAGCTAAAATGGAGAAGTGTGTGGGTTGGCTGAGGAAGCACTACAGAATCATAGCTGAAGGCTACAGTGTATTAATGTTACTGTTGCTCTTAAACAAGGCTGCAAATAAATGTCTGTATTCTCCTTGACGGGTGAACAGTAAAACAGAATATATTATAACAAAGAGAGCATCCTGGTTGATCAGTACAGCCCCTCTGTGATTTAACAATGCACAGATGCTGGCTGTGATGGAGCAATCAATTATTCAATTGCTCCCAGCCCCGTCGTTGGATTATTGGGGATTTCAGATCATGAAAAAAACAAGACGAAACAAGACATGATACTATAAAAAGAAATGAATGGACGGATTGTACTCACATGAAATCTTAGCAGGAGGGAGTGGAGTGTCAGCATTGCAGGCCGTGGAAAGAGCTTCCCATTGTGAGTGTCCCAATCCTTTACAACAAAACCTACGGCCCGAGCGACAAAAAAGAAAGGGCAGGGTCTGTCTCGGAGAAGATGGGGACAGTAAGGAAGAGCGAAGGGAAAGGAGGAGATTAGGGGAGTGTCTTACACATGGCATTGGTCGGATGGCCGATGGGAGGAGCAAAGGAAGCCAATAGCGTACAAAGGGGGCGTGGAATATGCAAAATAGACGAAATCTCAGGGACGGACAGGGATACAGTTTGTCTTTGGTGCAAAGGGGTTTGGCTTCCTGAGATACCGCCCAGGTCCCTTAAAAGGACAAAGGATGCAGTTTATTACCGTCAAGCTTTGAAATATAAGGGTACAAAGAATTACTGGAGTGTAAAGACAGAAGATACCGCTGAAACCGACAGAAATCCCATATCTAACTGTAGTTTAGTGGCTTAACAGCTACAGATCATGTTTAACATTCTTTTAGAACTTGCCTCAAGTTTCTTGCCTTTTAAATTATAAACAAGGAAATTGCTATTTGGAGGCTATGATGACAGAAATGAGAGGGTTTGGGGGGCAAAGAGCAATGTGTGTGTGCAATCAGCTGGGGAGTCCCACTTGTTCAGGTAATGCAGTGATTTGGATGTCAGGTGGTGTATGGGGGGCAGGAGCAAAGTACTTAATGCATCTATTTGAATTTGTAATAATTTTGGCTGTGTGTAAAAAGGAAAACCACCTGGAATTGTGATATATAAGGCAATTAGCTCAAGCTTGAGATGAATGGATACAGCATCCCTCTGAAGGTTTATTTCTGGGGGGGAGGGGAATAGGTCAACATATATAAGCTAGGTAAAGACAATGATAGGGAGGGTGACCGAAAAAGGCGTGAATGAAAAAATCTCGTGTTGTACTGTAATGCAGATGCACTGGGTGAGGCTGCTGTGGTGGTGCAGGTGGGTGTGGGGAGTTTGTTTGGGGCGGGGCTTGGGGTGAAGAGCAAGCACACTCATCTCTGGGTTTTATTCTGGAAGGTGGAGTTGCCATGGAGACTGCTTCCATCCTAGACGAGGAAGATGGCTCCAGCAGTCAGGCAGCAGCAGCAGCAGTGAGCAGGTCACACATTGCCAGGACTGACAAATCCAAAAAGAAAAATCTTATAACATGGTTTCTAACACATTAATTACTGAAGAATCCACATTTCTAACTACTTCATCATATAACAGCATTAGTGTATGTCAGACCTGCTTTGAAAAAAAAGATGTTTTAAAAATAATGGTTTTTCCTGACAACTTATTGAAAATATTTTCTTTATAACTACTTTTACTGAAGCAATGATAATGCAAAAACTGTTATAGCTTGCAATTACTTGGTAATATAATACAATCCAGTAATGAACAGCACATGTTAAGGCACAATGTCCTACATACAGTAGTCATTTATTATTGCACTGCCATTTTCAAAGAAGTTCCACACCCAATAAATTAAGACACAGCTGCATAACAATTTTGCAACAACCTTTCCTCACTATAGATGGTATATTGGTGGCATTTTGACAGTTCATTCAAGAGGTTTAAATTATTTTATGGCTCATGTTCAAACTAAGATCAGGGCAATAGGATAATAGGATCTTTTTTTTCCCACCTAGAATGAATGAAAAGGTGCTGCACAGTTATGTAGTGAGCACAAGGAAACCTTGTATTTCAGTTGTCTAGATCAGGATTACAACAATATACAATACCTCATAACATGTTTTTCACAAGTGGAGTGGACAGACATTACAATGCTATGCTGTGTTATTAGAATCAAAACTCTATAAACAGAGCTATAAATGTGTGGTTGATATTTTTATTTGTGAATATAAATGCCAAATGTGAGTCAACTGGGCACTTCAGTGTTTTGTTAATGTACCAAAATTCTAGTATTCCTGTATATTTATTCATCATTCCAGTGCATTTAGAAAGAACAATTTGACTACTCACAATTTAGTAACAAATAATCTGGAGCTCTATAATTTCACTGGGTATCCAGCTCAGTATCAGGCTGTATTTTAATCACAAATATAAAAAAAAACATTCCAGTTGGTGTTCACATGAGAAAAGAACCCAATAAAAGGTCATTGTTGCACTTCAGTTAGAACAATGGCTGTAATCCTAAAAAGCTAATTATTTAACTGTAATATCAGCCGCTAAGAAACGTTAGTAGTTGAACTTGCATTTTGATCTCTTACTTGTATCGACACGAGCTTTTATCTGCTCCCAGCTTGTAGAGACATGGCAAACCGACAGGCAGTGTATAGAGGTGAATAGGGAAGATGGAACTTTCCATCATAATAGGCCACCAGATGTTAGGCCTTAAAGCACAGTAATTCTCAAGTTAACCTGAGATCAGCACCCTTCACTGTGCCACTGACAATTCCTAGTTCAGCTCTGCTCAAATACAAGCGGCTTTTGTAATACTGACCCATTTAAGGCTGAAACAATAAATGAATTGTGTGCGACCCTGAAAGAGTCCACGATCTTCCTTATTGCCAATTTTCTGCGAAACAACAAAAGGATGATAACAAGACAAAAGGTATTCATCACTGTAAAACTGACAATAACAATATTGTATTCGGGTATACACAGTGCAAGTAGTTATTTATCAAAGTATCAAAAATAACTGTTGTATTGTGCCATCTAGTGGTAAACATTCAGAATAGCCTTTCCTCAAATAAAACATTCTCAAACTACATTCCTAGAAGCCTCACTCCATCTCTTTACAACCTTATCAATTTACAAAAGTAACATAAAAGATAACACTACACTGTCATCATGATAAGTTAATTACAACATTAAAATTATATGCATTTCCCTGACTATAAAATGTATTTGTTTCAAAGCCTATACACCAGAGCCAGTGCAGTTATGAACAGCTTCCTTGCTACTCTGCTGTTTGCTCAAATCTCCAAGGCGTTTTAAAAAGCTAAAAAACAGTCCAGAGTTCTCAGCCTTATTCCATGTACTCTTGGGGGGAATATTTTCACTATTGCTCTGCATGTGGTTGTCTGAGGGCTCCACTGATTTGCCTTCTTGTTTTTGCTCCCCAGGCATTTCATCTGCAGCCTGTGTGGGGCAAACATTTGGCTTGCTTTTCTTTTCTGCGGCTAGAGAATTCTCATCCAGAGTACCAGGTTTTTTAAAGCTGTGAGATAAGTCAGTAAAATCAAGCATTTCTTTGGAGGGATGGTGTTCATCACCGTCTGCTGGCAGTTTCCCATTTTCACTTGCCACAGGATAAGAAGCTCTGACTGGAGTGCTGACTTCCTCTTCCTTAGTTTTAGAGACTTTAGTAGGTACAGTATGGCGGCGGCCAAGGTTACATGCTGGGGGCGACTCAGTATCGAGGAATAACTTAACCAAATCCTCATCAGCTGGCTCTCCAAGATACCCTTCTGTGTCCTCATCGACGGTACGCTGACGACGCAAAGTGGTATTTGCACCAGGAGATTTCTGACTTTCCAGAGTATAGTCTATCGATGAGATACTGCCACAACTGTTCTGAAAGTGCAAAACTTTTTTAGATGCTTCACGTAACTTTTGGGCCTCCTCCTCATTATTGTACTCTAGATCCTCCTCACCATCGTCAGTGGTGGCTGAGAAGTTGACAGAAGAGGAAATGCTGGGGGTCACTTTGGCTGGGTGTGTATATTGTCTAGAGTTTGCTTTTCTGGAAGTTTTCATCTTTTCTTCATAAGGAATGCCACCTTTTGACTTGTTGTCCATGCCATTGGACTGGGCTTTACTATGTGAAGACTCCTCTGTGAGTTCAACAGTTGAATTCCACTCTTTATCTATATTAGAGCCTCCTCTCCTTTTCTTTCCAGTGGGGAGGTTTGCCTGTGCAGTAATCTCTGATAGGCTTCCACTGTTGGGGCTGCCACTCACAGGACTTCCATGGCTAGATGACGGCATTCCAGATCTCCTCCGAGAGACACGATTGGTAAGGTAGTTCTGTAGTACGGATTCTAAGGCAATACCATCCATTTCCTTGTCTCTACTAGAGCAGGTCGCTATGGACCTGCGCTTGGCAGTGCTCTGTAATCTGTCTCTCTGCCTCAACTTCACCTCCGCCATCTCTCGAGCCTTGTTTTCCTGCAGAAAATCACACAGTTAATGGATCGAGCAGGAGTGTTTTTTTTTATATCTTGGCTAATGAAAGCATACCAGGAAATAGCCTCACCTGCACAGCGCGCATAAATTTCTCACAGAAAGAGTTGAAAACTGAGCAACATTCTTCCAGTTTGAACTTGTTTGGATCTTCACAAAAGTACTCTGCCACAGAATCACTCACTGACTGCAATTCCTGAAGATGAGTCTCTATTTCTGCCAAGCAGACCTCAGCTTCCTAAATGGAGCCCAAATTAAAACATTAGAGCATGTAATCCTCAAAATCCACACAAACTGGGCTGAATTTCCCAATAGAATTCCTCACCTTTAGAAAATCCTCCATCTGTTCCTTTAGGTTTTCCTGTTTCAACATGTCTGCCTTGGCATCTTGAACTTTCTTTACCTGTCTTCCAAACTCAGCTTCAATGTCACCTTTATTTATTCTGAAAGAATAAAAGAAAACAAAGCTTTACTATGAAAGAACAGCAAATAAAAGAGGGTTAAAACGTGCAGAGTGTCTTTAAAATAAGCTTATTTACTTTGCAGCAGCTTCAATGTGTTTGAGTTGTTCTGGAAAGTTAAGCAGGGCCATGTCTGCTTTCTGAGCTTGCTGTGATGAAAATGAAAGTTTGTATATAAGAAATCTTTTCAAATCACAATCATATCTTTACATGCTCAAGACTACAATCTTATCAAAGTGCTAAAATCCACTTGCCATCACAACATAATGCATAAGATTCATTCCAGGTTTGTTTGCTTTAGTATCCACCAACTTCAAAAGAGATGCCATTCGGAAGCCAACTGCGCTGCCGGCATAGCCACCCTGTGATCAAATAAAATATAATGACTCAGGTGTACAAAGACAACGGAAAGTCATCCAACCCTGCTATCAAATATTATAAACTCACAGCATTCATGTAATTCCCAGTCTTCAGTACCAGGCGAATGACAGAATGGAGACTGTCAGACTCCAGTAGCTCTAAAAGAAAACACACAAAGTCAAAATGGGTTTACAACTGTTTTTTGTTTTTTTTTAATCCCTAAATCTATTATGAGTCTTAGCTGTTTAAATTCCAGCAAAACAAACAATACCTTTTCCAGCAGCTGTCAAAGTGCCAATGAATTCTTTAATTTCTTCCACAAGGGGGAAAAATTCCTCTCTGAGCAATAAACCCCTGAGACTCACTTCATAACTAACAGACACAAGATTTTGATCATTAGTAAACCACCACTGACATATAAACATGTGCAATATGTGGAATGACATTTAGGTACCTCACCTGGGAATTCTGACCAGCAATAGCATAAACAGATCTGCTTCAGGAAGTGCAGAGTGATCACCCTTAAAACTGGCCAGCTGCTTCAGCTGCATTCAAAAAAAGCCCACAAATCTGGTCAGACTGTGTTTTATGAGGTAAAATTACAAGCAACAAGACTGTAAAATGTACACAACACATTAGAAAAAATGAGCAGCTAAAACAAGTACCTCCCCTTCATCTGGCAGCAGCTTGTACAGCTCTCTCAATTTTCCAGAACCAAAACTGTGGACACTTCCTGATTTAATTTGTTCAATCATGTCTTTTACAGGCCTGTGGAGGGAAGCACAGACAGGTAGTGTTCAGTTCATTAGTCACAAATTACCTTCATGTTTTTCTTCAGGGTTGGGACATTTTATGAGGAGTGTGCATCAGGTCAACACCACACATTTGCTTATTTGGAAAACCTACTGTAGGATGATGACACCAACAAGCCTCTACTTGCTTAAATAACTTTGTGAAACAGTAACTGCTCTCAAAAAACATTTGAGCAGGACATGAGGAAATGAAACAGTAACTGCTCTCAAAAAACATGTGAGCAGGACATGAGGAAAAAAAAACAGAAAAACATTTTTATGGAAGATTCATACATATGTGAATACTATAGATTCATCTTTTCTTCTCTGCTGCTGGGGACATTTCTGTCTGCTTGAGTGCACGTTTCAGAACATTAGAAATGGTGTGGTATCTTTCCATTTCCTGTTTGATCTGTTGGTATACCAAACAGCCTTAGGCAGTACATTTACTATGCCAACAACCGGTGTGTATGTTGCCTCAGTGATGTAACCAGTTGGAGCTGTAGAACAGCGTAGGTCAAACCTGCCAGGACATGCTCAGGATCGGCAGATAGCCTCGTTGCAGGCGGATCTGTTTACTTCATCCTGCGTTTCTTTACATTGGAACACAAAAAGAACATTTTGCAATACCATTCACACCTTAAAAATCCTATCACTGACTCACCGCTTGAATTGCTTTAGAAAAATCCCAATGTTCATGCTCCTCTTTGAGCTGAGGATGGAAACCTGGGAATGAAACAGACACAGATCTGTTTGTAATCACCTCGTCAGTAGCTAAGATAATTTCACTATTGGCTTGAGCAGTCTTTTGTATTGCAGATACCTTTGCTTTCCAAAGAGAGAGCCGATTCCAAAGGTTAAGAATTTTGAGAGCTGATTGTATCGAGCAACCAGGGCAAACATACAATTTTGCTGAAACATTTTCTCAGTGCCTTTCTTGGGTAAAGGGCCATAGATCAAAGGGTAAGTTTAGTAACAGGTTTAAACTGTTAGACAAATATATGACCTCAGCTGATCTACAACGGAAATTAGATTCTTTGCTTCTACCCGTTTTACAACTTGCTCCCAGATGAATCCCAATATAGTTTATTATGTACCTTGAATACAAAGCACAAGCAGGCTAGTGTACAAAACAGCACTGTGAAGGGACACAAGTATACCTTCCTTTAGCTAACAGATATGAAAAATAATGACACTCCATCCTTGTACTGAGTGATTCCAAATCAAAACACAATGGTAAAGCTCTGCCCAAGTAAACTGTAGCAGTAACTGCTATTTATTTCACTCTTACAAGGGAAGAGTGAAACAAATGATAAAGTGATGAAAAGTGTAGTCCCATTCCCTAAAAACCACATGGATTTTGATTCATGGTACATGCAGAATAAGCTTGAGGTGATCCTTATCTACAAGTTTAATGTCTTATCTGGGGAAAATGCTGCAAGACTGCTGAATGTTTATCTCAACTTCATGCCTAAAAAAAAAAAAAAAAAAACTAAATCAATCAAGCGCCATGTCTCAGCATTACACAAAAACAAAACAAAACAAATCAGCCTATTGCTACAAGCCAATGGAGGTAACGTGCCACTCTGATTCAGCAAAGTGTGACATTGTGGCCCCTGGATGGTTGTACTTACAGTGTCCCCTCCTGAGGCAGCAGTTGGCAGGCCCCTCGGACTCTGGCAGTTCAAGGCCTTGAGTTGTTGCTGGTCCTGCTTGTGGCTGAACAGCTCCTCCATGTGATCAGTGTCCAGCTCATATTCCCCATCAGTCTTATTTTCTGTCCATATATTGTGCTTTCCCATCACGGTGTGTTTGGGAAGAGTTTCCCAGTTAAAATTGCGCATTCTGGAGAGCCGGTGCACCCCCTTGGAACTGAGACCTGGGCCACGCAGGGATGGCAGGAAGCCAGGGGCTAGGGGTGGAGGAGGTGGGGGTGGTGGCAGTGGGGGTGGTGGAGCAGGAGGACCTCCTGGTTGCATCTTTTGTCAAAGCTCTCAGCAGGTTTTGAATGTAGTCATGGTCTCAGTTGTACATACAGGCAGGACTAGACCGTGTAAAGAAGGTGCAGTGAATATGATCTGGTTTGAATGGTTGTTTTAATCAGAGTGTGGTGCAGCCAATGTACTGGAGTGACTTGTCCAAAACGTTAGGATGATTGATGTATTCAAACTGAAAGAACAGGGTGGGGACACAGTTACAAATATTCCCATACACACTACAACTGTGAGCAACAGTGATTAGCAATGGACAAAGTATTCACTTTCGCCAGACAGAGTAGACTACTTCAGACTAATTACTGTAGTGCTACATTATCCATAGGCCTGTCAAAACTCATGAAAAACCCTTTTATGGCTAAGAAGAAGCCTAATACAGACGTTAACCTAGATCTATCATAATTGTGTTTCACCTTAGAAGATATTAAAAGGCTGCTGAGTGTTGAATTAGGTCCAGCAGACTTGGCTACTCCAGTAAAAACCTAAGGCTATGTAAATTAAACCATATGATTTTAAATAATAAAAAGGATCAATCACAGCTTTGAGGCCAGGTATTCTTTCTGCATCCAGTCAATCGTGCCGCATCGTGGCAGTTAATCTGTAAACGACTAAAACTATCAAGTGTTACAATGCTTGTTAGTATTATTGCCAGGTCGGCGTCCAGACCAGGAGATAAACAGACAACTCACCCCTGTTTCTGGGTCAGCAGCAGCTCTTCTTTTCCAGTCGCATTCCCTGGCTTCTTCTTGAAAGTACGGAGCGACATCAACCAAACATAACTTTCGAAACCTGCGCGTACACGACACGCCCAGGTAACCCATTTATGTGTAAGGCAGCCCACTATTTCCCGGCGGGAGGGGACTGTGGGGTGTGTTGGTCGGAGTTTGTGACCAATATTTTATGACTATATGAGCTCATTCTGTGACCAGTCACTGGATTTACAGACGCCTCCGGGGGATTAACTTCCTGACTAATAGGGTCGATTTCCTAAAGGTGTTCTCAGCAGGCTCCGCTTTTGCCACTATGTACTAAACCAGTACATTATAAAGTTCAGAATCCATTATTGATCATTCCTAGAGCTAGCATGGTTGAGTTTTGTCAGCAAAAAAGAACAACATTTTCTGAGTCAGGTACACTACAAAATTCCCTGCAACCCAAATAGTCCAAGTGCGGGCAATTCCAAGTTTTACTTATGTTAAAATGCCCCTTCTTTTAAGACTCTTCAATTTCTTGCATATACAGTAGCAATAGGTAACGTTACTGTTTGCCAATCTTTATAAAAACTTGAATTTATCAACTAATACTATAAATAAAGTGCAATGTCAAGTTGCTGAAGCCCACTGGAACCTTTTCTTCAAGAGAAATGGAATTTTCAATTCTGTTTACTTTTTCCCTGCCAAGTGCCCTGATGGTTTTTAACCACCAAGGGAAAGTTAACAAAGTATTTAGAGAAGACAAAAGGTGAAAATGAGCAATGAATTCACGACTTACTACACTGTTAGCTGTTTCACTTTAATCTTATCCTAACCACATTTAGGCTAGAGCCTCGTTAAACCCTGTGCAATTAAACTAAATGTATTGGGTGAGAAGCAGAAAAGGGGACTCATCATCAGAACAATATTGTGACTTCATGTTGTGTTGCCCTGTCAGATTTCACCAGTTTACCAGAAAACATCCTGCTCCTCTAAACAACTCATCAATATTGGATTCCCCCTGAGCACAGCACCTGACATGAAATCATGGACCAGACATTTGAATAATGATGCAAACTTGGTGATTAGAAAAATAAGTCATGGAAAGCAAGGTAGAGATATGTCAGACTGTATTGTCATATACATATACTGTAAGGTTTCTGTACATACTCTGTGAAGGATTCCCATATCAAACTGACAGAATTATGTCAATTGCACAGTTGAATGAAACAAAACATCCAGCAAACTTTATTGGAAATGCAGAACAAGAGAATCAGCTGACAAGAACTTAAAAAGATGTTAAGTAACATACATTGAGTTACAAACAAAAAGGTAAATAAATACCACAAAAGAAGAATAAAAAATGTCCTGTCCTTGAAGAGATGGTGAAAATTGTATTTTCAGCTAGAATGCATGTGGCATTGTGTGTATTCGGTATTCCCACCAATTTCAGACTTCAAACCCTCTCAAAGACTTCTTTATTAGTTGCATATCCTATTGACACATAGCCAGACATAATCATACACTGGCTATGAGTTGCATTTTGATTTAGATTTCTTTATGATAACAAATACTTGTATTTAGCATCACTATATACTGTATATTAATGCTGTTACATATACTGTAAGTCTTACATCTGTTGTTGAGGCTTGTTTCCATGTATAAACTCTGCAGTATAAAAAAAAAAGAAAAAAAGACAGTTGTAGCTATGCTGGATGGATACAAACGTATCTGAAAGTAAGTTGTAAAATTTGGGAGATCAAATTAATTATGGATTGTATATGAGGTTAGAGAAAATCATTATATTCATGATATATATTTTCCTGTCTATATATGTACATTGTAAACTGATCATTCAGGCAGGTATTCCAAAAAGGCAATATCAGAAACAATGTGGGGCAACTTTGATTGTGTTACATCTCAATGATTTTGATTTAAATCAGGTAAAGAAAACTTCAAGAATATGCTTCAGGCAAGCATACTCACAAAAATAAATACAATTTCAGATGGTTTATAATATTTCTGACAATATCCTGCTAGTTGCTAATGTGATCTGTGGAATTCCTCCCATGTAATATACACTGAGATACAACATAAAAAAAACAAAATAATGCATGTGCAAAACTGCAAAGGGATATCTCCACAATAGTAGACTAAACTGTACATAAATAAGAAGAGATATACTGTACATGTAAATGATTGTGCTACCTAAAATTAGGAAAGTAATAAGTCTTTTGTGACTTAACAAAAACATTGTAAATAGAAATGAAATAATTTTCCATCTATGTAAAATACATACAGTAAGTGATACTGAAAACCCTTACGAAAGTGATCCTCATGTTTTTCTTTCTCACTGGCCTCTACTGATCCTACACACCTTTGTACATTTGACTCTTGTCCGTCTAACCACAATGTCATGTTGTGACCAGATGAAAACAGCTGAACGCTGAGTGTTCTTTACTGCTCCTCCAGCCAGGATGGCTTATCTGATCCTGGAGGCTTTAACTTTACATTGAACTGTATTAAAGTTTGTTCCAACTGCTGCTGGTTGCCAGCAAAGTAAGCTGAGATAGCATTGTGGAAGAGAAGCAGCTGCTTGTGCATCACTTTCACCTAAAAAAAAAAGAAAAAAGGAACAAATCCTCCATTACAAATACAGTTTAATGTTTACAGAAAAGCACAGCCCATGGACATCTCATTTAGTAGCTGCTCAGATGACTTTATAGGTTATAAACCTAAAAACAACAATCTACAGCATGTATATGCTTATGAATGCACATGAAAGAGTCTGCCTGGTTCCTTTAGTTTTACCCTGTCTACCAACAGAGAGGTATAATGGTACAAAAGAAGATGCCTTTTCTGCCTTAATGTGGAAAATGACTGCTGCTGTACATAATGGATGAACGTAACATTTTACACTTGGCTTACTTAACACTGCAAACTAAGCAATAAACCGATGTGGTTTTGACAAAACAGTGAAGGGTTTGAAAGCATCCATCCATCCATTGTAAATATAATCTTATACAGCGCTTTTCTATGCAATGATGCGCACTCAAAGCACTCTACACCATTTCAAATTCTAACCCGTTCACACACGCAATCACTCACGCATTCACACACTGATGTCATCACAGGAAGCAACTAGGTGTTCAGAGTCTTGCTCGAAGTCACTTCAACATGTGGACTGGAGAAGCCAGGTATCGAACCACCAACCACCAACCCAATAGGATTATATTGGAGCAGATGATTTCCTGACATGTTATCATGTCACAACCAGAAAGCCAAGGCAAGTTTGAGTGGGTGTTGTTATTGAGTAACACCAGACAAAAAAAAAAGTATTTTACTGCCCACTTTGGTTGAACGTTTCAAGCTTTTTTCCACACCCAGCATCAATAATGCTTGTGGTTGGGTGTAGTCAAAAGTGTAGTCTGTTGCATGCGTAATCACACCCAACAATAACGTCACAGGATCCTAAAGTACACTTGTACATCCCAGGCTCATGGTCACTAGGTCAACAAAAACAAGGATAAGGATAATAAGGATAATCACCTTTATTTGGCCAAGTATGTTACACACAAGGAATTTGTTTCCGGTACATAACCGAGGCAGCCATCTGTGGCGCCAACTCAACCGATGGTTCTAACCATCAGGGGTAAAGGGGGGAGGGTCAGTGTCTTCAGTGTCTTGCCCACGGACACTTCGACATGTGGACTGCAGGCACCGACAAGACTTGTTAAGCTACTCTTTAAATGTGGGGACATTTCAGACAAGGTGTGTGTCTGTGGAAAGTTAGGACACCGGACTGCACTTTTACTTCAAAGCCTCCTGCCAATGAAAAATATGTTTTGCTGATATTTAGCTTCACTGTGTGTTCCTCTATTTCCTGGTTAGAGTTCAACACTACATAGAACATTTCTCTGAGCTCACCTTATAACTTCGAAACATGTACATGTATGAACATGATTTTTGACATCACAAATATTTAGAATTCAGGCACATATACAATGAGAACATGCATCATGATTAAATGGGAGACATCTTGATTTGGGCAGTTAAACTTGAAATAATACTTATATGTTAAATGATCCAGAATTTTTCAATGGGAAGAGAAAATGTTGCAGCTTTAATAAAGTTACAATTGAATGGAATTTTTATTTGTTGAAAAACCATGAGCCACACTTTATTATTCAGTCATTTTTAAATGCCTTTTATGAATGACTGAGGAGACCTTTAAAGTGCCCATAACATGCTTTTTCTTGTTTTCTGACTTATCCACAACAGTGAATTATCATCTTAAACATGACTTAAAGCTCAAAAATGAGGTGTACCTATGTTCTAGTACTTCTATGCAGAAGCAACGCAGAGGGGGCTCTATGGTTTTTTCACTCTGAAATAATCTAGAGCTAATCTAGAGGTACCCAAGATTAAAAATTAAATGGCTGGAAATGAGCATGCCATGTGTGGATAAGTGCCAAAGGATTTTAAAAACTTGTAAAGAACAAACCTTGTTTTCCTCCAGGAATTTGAGCTTGATGGTGACGTCACTACGCAGCCGTTCGTATTTGTCTCTGTGGATCTGGTACTCGTGCTGAGCCATCTCAATGCGGACCATGGCCGCAGCATCCCTGGGGCCCAAACTTAGCTCTTCCAGATCAGAACGGTAGGCATCAAACTCAAGTCTGCACACAAAAACAATAAAGGCTCCGTAACAGGCAATCACCCTACAGTTACTGAGATAATATTTTTACTCTTACTGTTAAGTCTTGCAAAATATAATGCTTTCTCACCTTGCATTTTCATACTGTTTAATGGTCATCAGAGTATCCTCCATTGTTTTGTTGACCAGTGTGTTGACACTGGACACAAAGAAGTTGATGGCACCAAGCAGAGCCTCACCATTCTTACATAACAGCTTTTGTGTTTCTGCATTGTACCCAAATTCATCCTACAGAGAAACACAGTTTTACATACTAATTGCGTTTCCATTTCAGGTCACACAGGGGGCTTTGGCAACACTGTACCTGTAACTCTGGGGACTTCTGGCTGAGGTCAGTGAAGGTGTCTCCTAAAGCCTGTTGTGTCTGCACCATGCTTTGAAAATGATTGATGAGTGCAGTGGCCAGTCTTAGGATGTTTTCATACTTGTTCTTGGTTTCTCTTAACATATCAATCTGAGCCTCCAGTTCCAGGTCTACTGTTCGCGAGCCTCGGCCAAACCTCTCTGAAAACATCTGTTTGGTGCACTGTATTGTGGATACAGATGGAGAATCCATTGTGGAGAATACATTAAACCCGGGATACTGGAAAATGCATGTGTAAGTTGCCACAATTGATTTTCTCACAGAAAAGCAAGAGAACTACTCAAGATCACCATTTCATGGAGGTAGATTATATATGTCGTAGTAATAAGTTGATAATAATCAACCTAGAACTATATGGTCTGGGAGAAAGGGATATGCAAAGTTTCCACATATGTATTTAAATGCCACAAAAGATGCATCATACCACACACAAGATTATGGGGTAAACTGAAGAAGACTAACCCCTATTCGTTTTATCTGATTTTAGAAACTTTAAAAAACAGTGTTAAACAATCTACAGTACCTTGTATGTGTTTATGCCCCATTTCTTTACACTGTCCAATTTCTCCACTGCCACTCCACGAGAAACTTCAGTTGAACTACTAGTGTTAAGGTTTGATGATCCTGGAAAGGAAAAAAGAATAATGTGTAAGATAATGCATGTTAATCTACTGAAGATTACAAGGCAGAGGTTTACAGAAATTGTATGGGTTGTGACAATGAATGGAGTGAGGACAGTGTGAACATGGTGATGAGCCTGCCTGGTGATACCTGGATGCCGGTCTGTGTGTTGAGCAAGTCGACTGGCTGCAGACTGGCTTTTAGGCAAGTTAAAACCCCCGGATTTCATGCGTATGTCTGAAATGAGTATGGTGATGATAGGGCGTGATGATGAGAAAAAGGTATGGCAAAGACAGTATGTTTCACAGGAGTCTGGCAGTGAAATATGCAGTTGGGCAGCAGCTTATGCAGACTGAAAGGAAAATGTTAGGCTTTGTGGTGGGGGATAGTAAGTGGAAGTTAAACGGTGTTTAAAATAAGCCACCATGCAGGTTGACCATGCAGAATAAAATGATTTATTTATAAAAAAAAGATGGAAATGAACTTTGTCGGATGAAAGGTAAGTACCCAAGCAAGGACAAAACAGTCATCCAAAGAGCATTTTACAGTGAAAAAGGACATCCTTATTAGACATCAACACAACATTTCAAGTGACAGCCCTGTAATATCATGTTAGTGCATCTCTAATCTTGACAGCGGCCAAAACGTTTGTTGTTGCTTAAGCTGAATAGGTATAAACAAGGTCAAGCAATACCAAAACCTTTATAGGGGGCCAAAACAGACCAACATATAAAGGTTAACTTAGAAAAGAAACAAGGTCACTAGAATACACTGCCACCTGGTCCTGGTGCAGGGGCTCGTCTTCTGTCCAGATACTCAGGGTTGAAGTGAATTGCAGGCCCTATGGAATATGGATGTTTGTAATATGAACCAAAAGCCTTGAGGTCAGCAGCTCTCTAGTGGCACATTAAAGTACATGGAGTAAAAGCTCTCTATATGGTTTCTTAAAGGGGCATTAAGTATCAGCCTCTCTCAGCGACTGATGAATTGCAACAATGGTGACAGATCCCTGGCACAGCCCATAACAGCCTACAACCGACAACAGACAGTATAGGGGGGTTAAAAGAGAAAGTGCAACAAACAGGGAGCTGTTTGAAGCTAGAAATGTCAGCACCTGGCAGAATAACTGCAGGGTCATATGTACTGATTGACAACCCTATAAAACCATTTCAAGTTAATAAACTAATTCTAAGCAACTCTTACTTAATGCACCTTTAAATCTGTAATTGTTTCAGTGCAAGCTGTGTTTGCACTGTGGAGAATAAACAAAAGAAGCAAAAATCTGTAGAGGATGGCAGTCAGGTTTGCTAGCAGTACCTTTGATGGTGCTTGTTGGAATGATGCCTCCTGCAGTTCCTCCATAACCTCCCGAGACAATGCTGGTTTCATTTAGATTGGGTCCAGAAACCATCACCTGCTGCAAATCCTAATGGATTTCCAACAAAATATTGGCAATAAATATGTTTTAGGGTGCAAGAAATAAGATCACATTTCCCATTATCTACATAGACAGTACAGTGCAATTTTAAAAAACTGAACACCTTTTATAATGTATGAAAAGATAAAAATATCTTTGTGCTCCAGAAAGCTGTAAATTAAATTTTTTACATTATAAACATGCAGTATTTTTCTTCCAAAACTGTTATAATAAGTAGGTGGATGGTTTTCTATATCCTAAATTTAAAATATGAAAAATAATTAATAGTATAAACAAGAATTTTGTTCAAATGTGAAGAAACCATGCTGTTTTTTTACATATTCTGTAAATGATACATATAGGACTACTGATACTGCAGTCTTCACTGTACCAGAATGAGCCATAAAATTATGCACCACAGTTATGAATTTGCTTGTCATGCACGCAAACTAAAGCACCCTATTCCAATGGTCAGAATTACTCCTCCATGCTATTAATGCATCATTCCCCGTAGCAAATACTGATGGTAAGAGTAATATACAGTATTAGATCCTGTACATAACTGCAGGCCTGTGCAACATTAGGTAACAACTAGCCTAACCAGTTTTACTCATGGACTGTGCTGTCCTGTAAAAAAACAATACAGAACCACAGACTGGGCACAAAATGCTCATACATATTTAATAGCACCGCCACTGTCGGTGAGCTGACAGAAAATGTCTGACCTGCTCTAGACTGTCATCCTCTGGCAGAGTCCCTGTATCTCCATTGCTGTTAATGGGGATCTCCATGGTAGCAGCCTTGCTCATGATACTGTCTGCCATAATGAAATCACTGCAAGATAGCACCAAACACTAACACATAAGGATGTGACGTTATCATGTTTTGGGTTAACAAAATGATAACAGTAAGTTACAGCTTTTTAATCCACGTCGACAACGTGCTTACATTGATGCTAACGTGGTGCTGATGTGGCTGGCTGGCTAGTGGGCTACTATCTGACAGCTAGCTTCCTCACCAGCCCGGAGTCAAGTCCAGTCGTCCGCAGGAGAAATAACTCCCTATTTGCCCAAACAGCAGAGTTGAAATGTCAAGTAATTTCAACAGGAAAGCACCGCTGACTTCAATTATAACTGAATGCTACGCCCATGACTGTTTATCCCACAACGCTCATATATTTCTGCCAGAAAATCCCTGGATCGAACCTGCTCACAGCGTTAGTAGTACCACTTCGAAATAAAAGTTTTTGGCATATTTAATCTGTTGTAAATCTTATGACTGGGCTTTAACAAAAAAAGTACTTCGAGGGAAGTGAAAAATCTATGCGCTTTAATGTGTGCTGTTTCACAAATGAGCGGCTGGAAGTATATACTGTGAATGGATACTCTTATTTTGAAGGATAATACCTTTAACGTAGTAAGATCTTCAAGCTTCCTCCCCCGCTCCATCGTCCACGTCACACAGTGCTGATGCTGGTTTATTCCCAAACTGCAGTACAACAATGCTCCTGAAGATGTCATTAATAGTTCGCTAACTAGGAAAAAGAAAACAAGACACTGTATTTATGTTCTCCATCAGTAACTCAATGAAAGCGCTGGCCCCACAAATGCTGCAAAAAGATTTATCATTAGAAGGATGGTTGTAGCATCCAGTCTGTTACATTGATTGCACCATCTTTTGAAATCAAACTGTATAAATACAGTTTGAGTGTTTTGAGATGTGAAATGCCTCAAGACAGACTTCACCCTGGTAAACTGACCACACGTCCAATTATTTGCCTCATTTGTTTCAATCAGGGATGCAAGGGAAGTGCACATGGTCTCCAAATGTAGGGTTTCTTCAGTAATCACTCCAGCTCTGAGCACAGAACCAGCCTTTCACACCCACACACAATAGACAGTATTCCTGTGATAAAATGGTTCATTTTTTTGATGTGCTAATTTCCTGCAAGTGTATTTTCCAAACACCAAAACTCTCATACTGATAAAACCTTCTCTTCTTCATTATCATTCTCCTTCTTTTTCAGATTTGTGCATATAACTGAATTTGATTATTGCCTTCTCAAGATCAAAGACAACAAAATGGAAATAATGATGCTGGGTTATTCATGTTTTCCCCGCAATCACCAAATCAACATGTCAAAGGTTATTTGACTGTTTTTGATCCTTTGCCAAAATTTGTAAATTTTTTGAGCATCATGTCGGACAAGGTATGTGCTTCAACACACACACAAACGTATCTTTCTATCTATAGACAGTGAGAGAGATAGAGAATTCCCTTCTCACCCCTACATGGTGGTGTTTGTCTTCTCCCACCTTGGTTCATCTACCAGAGGCCTGGGAGTCTGAGTGTTCTGTGCAGTATCTTAGCTGTACTTAGTAGTGCACTCTTCTGGACAGAGAGCTCTGATGTTTCTCCTGGGAGCCAGTCTTCAAGTTTAGGAGACGCACCTCCGAGTGCTCCTACCACCACTGGGACCACTTTGGCCTTCACCTTCCACTTCCAGCTTCTCATACTTCTTCTTATTGATTTTGCTGTCACTTGAAATTACTATATATGTTGACACATTCATCCATTTCATAGGAAATATCTATGACAAAAGTATGACTACTTACATCACACTGCAGTTGTCCAGGTGTGTGGTACGATAGATGCATGCCATTCTGGTGTCCATGGCTGACTCCCTGCCTTATAGTGTAGCCACAGCCCTTCATTCAACATGACACAATGCTGCTACAGCTTGTAGTCTGGTAGCATGACAATGAACTAAACATTGTGATGAAACACAACAATATTTTTACTTATTCCGAAACACAGTACATCAGTGTTTCTGTTAGCCGGCCTTACAAATCTGAATAGTCAGAGCTGATCAAATCTGAACTCTGACCTGCAAATCCACCAGATTCATCTGAAGTTCATACTGAAACAGGAAATGCATGCTTGAATTGGCTTCAATATAAATTAATGGGTGACTGAGAAAATATTTGTAGGACAGAAGGTAATGGGACTATACATTTAGCCTTAAAGGGTTGATGTCAGTTTATACTGACCCAGTACAGTAGTAGGTTTTGGGTCATAGAATATATACACACAGGGCAGGACCTGAAGTCAGAGAGATGTAAAGATAATGAGGCTACTGCTGTTACAATTGTCTCTGCTAAACATTTCACTGGTTGGCCAGTCTGGTGAGTGAGTAATTGAAAGGGTATGTTTTGATTTACCATTTGAAAAGAGTGACTGACTCAATATCCTTTAGCTCCGGTACCTTTGACCTCCACATTATTCATGGGCCACAAACAACCTGTTGTTGCTGAGGTTTGACTTTTAAAACCTTTGCTGTTGTTGTTTTTTGGAGAAGGGGAAAGAAACAAGATGTGCAGTTAGATAGCATTGCTTAACATAACAACTTGTACGGCTCACTGAAGTAGAGTTTAATCACAAACACGCTCACATTTTTGCATAAACATTACAGATGTAATCTAGAGTCAACAGTTTTATGTTTGAACAAGGCAAATAGTGGCCACACTCCTGTACAGAAATATTGAGAGACCAAATTTTCATAGAGGAGAACATATACTTAGAGTCAACATAACTTTTAAAGGTCTCAGGCGGGGTCTCCTCTGAGACTGCACTGCATGTCACAAAGCCAGAATATGTGTGTGAGGGGAGCGTGAGACCTAAACCACACTGTACCCCTCCCCCTGTCATTTTGTTTTTTAATAATCATTAAGCACACTTCCAGATGTTGGGAGGGAAAGTCATCCTCATACAGTCTCCTGTGCTCACCATCAGCAAACAAGAGTACTGGAGGGAGTCAGAGAAATCCAGAAAAACATAACCAATACTCCCTGCATCCACACTTCATGGGAATTACAAGCAGGGCTCAGTTTTTTACTTTATAGAGCATATGAAACTAATTTTTATAGTGGCTTTAGTGCTATTTCTAACAATCTGCCATCCTTTTTCCCAACCAAAGGTTCAATCAATGTTTTGTCAGACAAACGTCAAATGCATAGTTTAAAGAGGTCCTTTAAAATTCTACTGACAAGAAGCATTTTAACTGAAAAAGTTTTCAAATCATTTCTGTAAAGAAATTTTTTCTGCTTTCTCTCAATTTTAAAGGTTTTCATTTAAGAATAAACATGATGGGAGGGGCAAAGAGCAGTTAGGAGAAGCATATGGTGTCAGTCTGTTTTGAATCTCACTAGAAATGAAGTCCCAAACAACCGAAGAAAGAAAAACAAAAACAAACTTCAGGGTATTATTTAGTGAGTGTGACATTTAAAACATTTCAAAAGTAGAAGCCTTTCTTTTTCAAGGCAGATTTTCCTCTCTATACAAACTGCCTCTGTAACAGTGAGCATAATGACTTTGTGTAAATGGCATGAAAGCAATGGCCATGGAAGGCAAAGTTTACTATTACTCTGGTGTTTTCAAATAAATTTACCTGCATAATCATAGGGACAACCAGTCAGAGGTGACACATAAACTGAGAGGGCAGTGTAGAAATTGTAAATGCCACAGGGGCTTTTGGCATTTTTGTTGAAGTGTTGAGGCAGTTGTTAATTTTGTTTTCATGAAGGACTCCTTTAGCTGGCACACAGATGCTGCAGTCAGGGTATGAACGGAAGGACATATTTATTTTCCTTATATGGTTTACTTACTTTGTCATGCAATTTTCTGTTTTGTAGGTCTCCAATTGTCATTTCAGTTTCCTGCTCTTTTGCTAACCATGAATTACACAATGAATTAGAAATGTGAGGATATTCAAATTCTCAAATTTCATGATGTGAGCACACACACTTGCAGTCATCACTTACAGGGTCTGTGCATACACTGTACATTCATTTCCAGGAGACATACCCTAACCTTAACCAAAGCCAAAACTTACACATCGTCATTTTAAAAATTTGAAAGAATTAGTCGTGGGGCCCAGCCTCCAGTCCCCACAAGTGATTTCTTGTAATCTCAAAGCAGTTTGCTCCCACAAGTATATATAAAGGGCACACACACTACAGTTCAAATGTTTGGGGTCACTTCCATTTTTTCACTTTTTATTATGACATTTAAACAGTTCAGGTCCAGTCAATAACCTTAAATGGTGCACAGCTAAGATGTACTGTAAACTGCCAGAGGTAAAACAAAACAAAAATTTCATGTAAAACAGGCCTTCTTCAGGTAACTACTAACAGGTTAACTTGCATCTTTTCTGCAGCAGTGGAAGTAAATGAAGCCTTGAAAATTGATACAACTTTTTTCAGGTGTCCCAACTTACAAAAACAACAAATTGTATCTGTATAAAGGCAGTGTTGGAAGAGACTGTGTTACAATACCCTCTGAAGCATTATTTGGAAAAAGGAGATTAACAAAAGAAGTCAGAGTCAAAATTCAGATGAACCATTTCAAAATGTCACTGGTAGCAGTATGTTAAGTCCAGGAAGCTGCTATGTTTAACTTTTTATAAAGAAGCTTAACAACTTTGTGCATTAAGAGATAAAAGATAGAAAATGGTGTTCATTACAGTCTACATTACAGTCTTTGCCTGTGTACTCATTTTTCTTAAAGATCACAGCACAAAGCAAATCAAATACGTGAAAGTTTCTCCACCTGCTAAAATACCACATGGTGTCTTCACAAATGACTTCCAGGACTTTGTGAAAAAATGCTTGATCGTGGGTCATAAATGTAATTCATTAATTCTGAACTGCACATGTACAGTACAGCCAGTTGAATAAGTCCTCCTTTTTGCACAGGCAAAATCACATTACAAATGAAAAAAAAAGCATATTGTATTGCATATTTTTTGGCTTCCAACACCATTTTCTGAGGGTTTTCTGGGGCTACTGTGGTCCATTAATCATAGTATATGTGGTTTGATCTCTGGTTACTCTTTATATCCCTCATGTATTGTAGCGAACACCAAATGGCACCTTGTGTAGCAGCTCTAATACTGTTAACATGGGTGAAGAGGCAATGGGTTCATGTGCTACAGTCATGACATAGAAATGTGCATGCATGTATTTAGTTAAGCTGTAATCAAAAACAAAAACAAAAAAAAAAACTAAAAATTACATGCAAGTTAAACAGAAAGAGCCCTGTTAGCTTGTCTTTTGTTGTAGTGTCCTTGAGTGAGATACTATTCAGCAGTATGTCTAAATTTGTGGAAATGTGACTGGCAATGTGGGTTGGACAACTGTGATCAGTCTAAACAGAAAATGTCTCCAAGTTGCTTTTTGATGCTGTTTGGGACCACATGGAGCTATGTGGTTTACTCCAATTTCAAGTTTTTAACAAGGCAGTAGATGGAACTGATATTAAGAAGTTGCTGACCCTTGGAAATGGTCAAAACCT